CATCATCCAGGTGGATGCTGCACATTGGTGGTGGTGGAGGGGAGTCCCCATTACCTGTAAAGCGCTTTGAGTGGAGTGTCCAGAAAAGAGCTATATAAGTGTAAGCAATTATTTTTATTATTATTATTTGGGATGGAAAACACTACATACAGTGTATGCAGTAATAATCATGTTTATTGCCTCTTTTACTTATTGTATTCATTACGTTTTGAGCATGAGCTCTTTCCCACTTCTTACCATAAATCAACATATAACTTACTGTTATTAAACAATTCATATTTCTGAAAATAATAACATTCAAAATACATGACAGTACAATTTGATATTGTTACAAATTGGATGTACAGTAACAGAGAATTACAGAAGATACAGGGCAGGATAATCAATTAAATAAATAATCATAAACCCCAAATCCCCAAATAAATAATTCAATCCCAAATTGAATACTTGCTACCAAGTATTTAAATCCTATATAGCACTTACACAGGCCAACAAGAGAGATAACCCTGCCTACTTAACTAGACATAATATGACCTACAGTTAAATCACCCTTTCTAGAAATCTGGATGCTACAAAGCGAATAGAAAATGTATCTTCTTATTCTAAAAATGTATTCACTAACCTGAAGAGACCATTTCTAACCTAGGGACTATCTATATAAGAAATCAGAGTTGCCTAAAAACAACAGAATGGCCAACTCTCCTAACAAGGTGATTATTAACTCAATCTGGTTTGAAAGGCTGATTAGGACAGGAATGTCCCGGCTGGCGCTGTCTCTTCTCTCTCCTTGTGCCTTTCTGTCCATCCTGTGTTTTTTCTTCTACCTTCTTCTCTGTTTTTTATCCTCTGTTCCTGGACTGATGATGACGCTTTTTGATTTACTAAGAACTTAATTAACAAAGGTAAACCAGACAATTTATTTCATCGGTGTGTCTCAGACCCAGTACAGTACCCAGTAGTTTCTACTATATCTTTGAACCACCAAAAACTGCAAATGTTGACACTATTTACATATTGACCACTCCCCATCTAACTTTAACAATATGTTTAATAATGGATCTGTGAATTGATACCATACCCCCATTTTATAGTTTTACCTGTAAACATTACATGTGAACACTGTGATTTTTTCACCCTGCAATTCTGTTTTCAGCTATTCTATGGTACTGGTTGACATTGCAACCCGAAGCGATCTTAATTCAGTAAGTATGCATATTTATTCTTATTTGAATTGCTCTGTTCTGGGTTGTTCTCTGTATTTAAAGACACCATGACTGGTGCTATCCCACTGCAGGGAGAAATGGATCCTGGAAAACTAGATGTGATGTGGAGACCTCCCCTTCCAGAACTGAAAGCTGGGAAATCAGACAATGAGTGCCCAGACCAGGGGGATTATTGTGAGGTTGGTAGCAGTGAAATAGATAAAAGGCAGAAATATGGCATTGTCTAATGTTGCCCGAAGTGGATGCCTGAAAATTAATGCAATATATGGTTAAGCCTCTTTGACCTTGGAAGAAGTGTAAGGATATACAGTGGCTTAAATTCTATCACAGTGAGTAGTGAAGCAATTAAGAAGTCTCCGCATATCACCATGCTTAGCAATTGTATTGTAAATCTCTGCTGATTTAATGATTTGATGGTTTAAATTTACTTGCACAATTAGAAATTTAAACAGTAACTATATGACTACCTTATGTTTGTAAATTAAGATTTTTTGTTGTATACAGTAATTATTGTTAATATAGGAAGTTCATTAGACTGGATTTTTAAGTTTAAACTTAAACTAAACGTGAGATTTTAGTGATCTTATTTCTAACTCACAGAACTAGAGAATGCACACACCTACTAGTATTTATTTAAGCTAAGCTTTCCTTTAAAAAATAAAACCTTAATTGCCTTAATAATCTAATTAATTTGAACTCTTTGTTTTCAGTTTCATAACATATTAGATAATGTCCTTTACCTCCTTGTGTTTCATAAGTAACTTAATATAAACTTTTGAGACTGAGAATAGCAAATCAAATAACCTAGCTTGATACCAGCTCAGCTAGAACAAAAACTACATCTACAGTACCAGGAGTGTCCCTGTGAGACCCTAGGGGATCCCTGTGTTTGCTATTTTTTGTTCTGACTCAGTAGTTAATCACACTGATGCTCTCTAATGCCTTTAATTGATCTGCTTGTTTGTTTAGAATTTTGTTTACCTGTTTCTGCACTCATTCCTCAGTTGAAAATATACCAGACTTTACATATATTGATACAACAATTACAGCAAATCAAATAGTATGTGTGTCTCCTCCGCTTGGTTAAGAATTTGGTGATCTTAACTCATGATGAACCAACACTGCTGCGAATGACAATGTATCAGTCATTCTTATAGTGAGGATGTTTTTTCTTCTGCAGGAGAAAAAATGGTTACATATCTGATTGGAGGATATTCAGGAACTCAGGAATTGGTATTAAAATGATAGCTATTATAAATACTAATCGTTGAAGCCATATGAAAAAATCTTTATACAGAAATTTGAAATAAATTTGTCTGTGATTAAGAATTAATTTGGAATGAAACACAGAAAATACTACAACATTTTAGTGTCTGTCATCTCTGCTGTTTGTAATACTTTGGGAGGATCTTCTGTGTTGTATACTTTTACGGAATAAAAAAACAGATTAATTCTGAAAGGCAATTCAAATTGTATTGCTCCACATAAGGGACTTTATTATTATAATAAAGTGATTCTGCCAAAAATGGTTTGCCGTGGTTGTGTAACTGAGAGGTATATGATATGGAGTATATCATTATAAGGATATCTACATGATATGGAACAAAAATAATTTCTGTTCATTTTATAACAAAAATATATGGGTAGTTGAAACAAACTTTGATGCTGTACCAATATTGATATTGAATTTTCTCATGTGTTTTAAACTTTTTATAGTTGATCAAAAAGTGTTGGTCCCATAATGCTGCAATGAGACCGACCTTTGAACATGTGAAGAAGATTTTGGACAAAATGAACCCTCACAAAGTCAGCCCTGTCGACATGATGATGAATCTGGTATGCAGGGGTTAATTTCTCTGTCTCTCTCTGCTTGATAACCCATCTATTACTCTTAAAGGCTTCCAGCGCTTCAGCATTCTGAATACAGATCCGACCTCCTCAGTGAACAGAATGGCTGTTGATCAATTCTGCAGGCTAGCCTCTACAATTAGAGGTTCCTTCCATGCTAAAAAGTAAATTGAAAGATGAAAAAGACTTCAGAGGCTTCATTGAAGTTCTTTAATTTACTTTTCAGTATGTAATTAACTGCTGCTTGTTCTTTTGCAACTACAGAAGGTTGTAGTTCCCATATCTTTTACTTATCCTTTATCTTTTTAAAGGTACTGTAAATTTAAATTTACAGTACCAAAGTTAAATAAGCAAGGAAAGCAGCATCATTTAACATGTATAAGGAATGTTTTCATATATTTATTTTTAGAGACAGTCTCTTTATTAATAGATAAGTAAAAAAATCCATCAGATAAAGAGCTGAAGAAATAGTGGATTTATGTTTACGCTGTGCATGTGACCTGCATTTGAATAGCTTTTCTGCTTCCACAATAGATGGAAAAATACAGCAAACACTTGGAAGCCATTGTGGCTGAAAGGACACAGGATCTCCTTCAAGAAAAACAACGGACAGACCGTTTACTTTACAGTAAGAGACTCCCAATGCCATGTTTTCCAGCTGGTATTACCATTGGTTACGTGTTAATAAGCAGATTTTAAGCCTCTGAAGAATCACTACTTAATCATTAATGTGTTTCTCTGGTTGAGATGGCTCTAGTCACCATAGTATACTGTATACACTGTGATAATCCAAGTTGTCTCCAACTCTCCAATTAGTCAGATTAACATCATTGTTAATCTTGCAAAGGGCTTTATTTTGTTCTAAAGTGCAGATCTGCCTCCAAAGGATTCTTTGAGCCTCTTGTTATGATCCTCTGTTGTTCTTTTTGTTTTTTTTAAACAGTTTACTTAACATCACATATTTTTTGTTTGTTCTGTGATTGTAAGGCTGAATTTTCAGCTGCTCCTATTTGGTTTTGTACATCTGTATAATGATTTGTGTTTTAATAGTCCATATTCTAAGTTTTAGAATGGGATACATAATAAACATATAAGTAAGAAAAGCTACCTCATGATTAAAATTACATGTGAAATATTAGATGACACTGTGGTATAGACTTTGACTGTTCTGTGGAGCCAGTCTGATTGTAATATAACTACTTCTGGTTTTACATTTTGCAATTTATGTTATATAATGGAAAATATTTTTAAATATTGTTAATATTTTCAATTAAGTTCACACACTAAACATGATTAATGTGTCATTTAGTTTAAGATGCTTTAGTTTAGATTCTTTAAATTATTTACTGTTAAGTTTTATTTAAATGTTAAATGTTTTTTATAACAACATTCATAGAAGTTTTGTATATGTGCTGTAAATACTCTACAATTAATATTCGCAGTAAAACATAAACACTTAATCTAGACTGCAGTGATAAGAGCAATAGGTTTCAAACCATTTACAGAGGTAAAAGTTTACATAAAGAAAATAACAATTGAAATTGTATTTTTTCTTTCATTTCTTTCATTTTTTCTTACAGTTTAAATGTATCTTATATTTTATGAATCACTGTGCAATACCCAGTGCAGTTCTGAAAAATGATCTCCAGTTAAATAAATCAGTTGTTATTTCTTAGTTGTCAATATACCTGTTAATGTCGTTAGGCATGTTACCAAAACCAGTCGCTGATGATCTACGTCAAGGTCGTACAACGGAAGCACAGAGCTACTCCAGTGCCACAGTGTATTTCAGGCACGTCATCCAGGTGTTGTGGTGTGCTGTGTTGCATGTTTAGCCTGATTACTTTTGTAGCTGTAGTGGCACATCTTAATCGTTTGTGTGTTGGTAGACCTGTGCTGATGAACATAAACTTCATGCATTTTAAAATGACAATAAAAAATGTATATACAGTCTATACATTATTCATTCTGTGTTGACTATTTATTGAGTCTCTTCAAAACAATCAATCAATCATTTATGAGCAAAAGGCTCAGGTCTGGATTTTGATTTCCAGTTTTGCACCATATCTTGCCTATATACTTTATCTACCCTGTACACTTATAAAACAATAATAATGTGTTTTGTTTAATGTTTAACATGTAGTTATTGCAAACATGTAGTTATCCCTTTCTGTGTCTCTCTTAGCTATCTGTCTTATTGCTAATTGCAGTGACATTGTGGGGTTCACTCAGCTGTCTGGATCCAGCACACCACACCAGGTTGTGGACTTTCTAAACAAACTCTACACAACATTTGATGACATCATTGATAATTATGATGTGTACAAGGTGGAGACAATAGGAGATGCATGTGAGTACTTTTTTGTGATGTTTACAGTACCATAGCGACCAGTATGGCTTTGGTGCACTTTTTTTACATTTTACATAGCTCTCAGGAGCAGCTTTCATCCTTGTTCAAGAATATTTTGTGTATATAATACACAGTGCCATCTTATGTATTGCTTTAAATTTCAGGTCAGCTTGCTTTGGTTTCTACTATGAAAATATTGAGATTATAATGACCACAGGCAGACTCTTTTTCAAAATTTACTCATCAACACTGCCTTTAACACATTTTAACGCTTCATGGATTATTGCAGGCACTAGGCTTTAAAGCTATTTGAGCCTATATCCTTACATTCCAAAACAGTGGTCCATTTGTTAATTTGTTCTTTTTTGTGTTATAATTTCAGAGTGTCTTCTTTAATTTGTTATTTCTTAATAAGGTAATTATTTCAGATTTTAGCTAAGCATTATTTATTTAATTAATTATGTATCAATGTTGTGAGAAAGAGAAAAATAATCTGCCCTCTTTACTTCTTGGTCATTTCGTTTTTTATAAAAAACATATTGGAAATATTTGAATAATATTTGAATAGTAAAAATCCATCCGTCCAAATTCACGTTTCTTGTTCTGGAAAGGATCATAGCACAGTAAAACATATCTTCATTGAGTTGCATTAACATTTTTAATTCATGTGCAGTGCATTGTTGCAAAGAATATGGGAATCATTGTAGAAGTTAATCTTTTTACGTTTATTTTCTTTCAGACATGGTTGTTTCTGGAGTTCCCCAAGAGAATGGCATTAATCATGGAGGTGAAATTGCTAGTATGGCACTTGACTTGCTGAATGTTTGCCATACCTTTAAAATTCCACACAAACCATCTGTGCAGCTGAGGATAAGAGCTGGCATTCACTCAGGTACCTCCTGTAAATACTATTGACCTGTGTGCGTGCTTATCGTGCATCTTCGTATAACATAGCTGAAACCTGGGAATCATTATCAAGGTATCTTTCCAACTATGTATTGCAGCTGTTTACAAACTACTGCAATGTTACTGATTTTAGGTTTGAATGTGATTTTATGTCAAGTACTTTGTAAGTCTAAAAATATTTAATCATTTTTATAGCTGAATATTTAAGTATTTTCATTCCTTATCACTCTTAGTAATCCTTTCAAGTTGCACCACGTAAAAAAATTGCTTATATTTTAAAGGTTGTAGAAAGTGGAAAACTGGGATTTGCTCATATATTTAAGACTACTGTATATAAACTACCATCGGTTTCTTTATCTCAAGAGTCCCATATCCCATATTTGGTCAAAAGGAACTAACCAACTCCAGCTTTCAGGGGAGCTCAGGCTGAAAGAAAACATGTATTTTGTTGTGGTTAATATTTTGCCAGGACCTGTTGTGGCAGGTGTCGTTGGAACTAAAATGCCAAGATACTGTTTATTTGGTGATACGGTGAACACAGCATCACGAATGGAATCCACAAGTGAAGGTACTGAGAAAAACAACAGTATAAATCTTTAAATATTTGCGGTATAAATTAGAAGTATACAGGACAGTGTAGATCTATGGCTTATGTTCTTTGGGGTGTGGTAAGACGCCATCAGATCTTTGATTTTTCTCTGTGTTGGTGGCCTAAGTTATGTATAAGGCAGAACAATTCTTATTGTTCAATATATATATTCACTATAGGCTTTTTCGTAATGGGTCCTGTAACACATAGCAGTTTATAAGGCTGAAGTACTGTGAAACAGCTAGAAAGAACTCTAACAGTCATATACGAACCACTTCCTGGGGGAACAGTTGCTTTCAAATCTGATTCATAGTTGACTTTGCTGACTGATACTTCACAGCTGGAACTGTTTATGCTCTTTTGGCAATGTTATGTCTATTTAGTAGAAAATAGTCTTTTGATGGGTGCTGTACAACATTTGCACAAAACATCTGCTGATCTTGGAAAATTAGAAATAGGAAATGACTGTTGTTGTGACATTTGCTTTCTTGTATTGCTGTTTTATTTGTCATTACTGCATTGTCTGCAAATTTCTATGTAATGTCTAAGGCAAGATAAGGAACTTGAGTAGTCCACAAGGGTCTCAAAGACATATGCTTTTCATTGTACCTGTGACAATACTGCTGAACAGAACTAGTTTTTGAATAAAAAGACAAATCTCCTGTTTTATGGTCAAACTGAAGAATACCTAGAAAACCTGGTAAGGCCTGGAGGAGCGAATATCTGCTGTCATACTGTTTGTTTTCACAGCCCTGAAAATTCAGTGCAGCTTCAATGCTGCCGACCTCCTGAAGAAACTGGGGGGTTACACCTTGACCTGCCGTGGTCTGTTGCATGTGAAGGTCAGATAGATGACCAGATATTTTTACTTTTGTCTTAATATTTCCTGTCGCACTAATTATAAAATCCTGGGTAAAAGATTACACACACATTTTTATTCATGACTGCTTTACAACAAACTCAAAATGCTCTACAGCAGCAGACATTTAATGCACATGACATACAGTAAGTGAAACAAAAGAAGAAAAACACAGCAAGCTCACCTAGTAAAACTAAATTAAACATTAAAGGCTTTAAATAAAACATAGGTTTTAAAGCAAGTTTTGAACATTTCTTACAAATTATGAACAAATTATGTAATGAGCTGTGAACAGTATAGATGGGATGCGGCAGAACAGAAGGCTCCATTGCTCAGTCTGTACAGTCTGGTTTATGGCAGAGAGACAAGGCCTTTTAGTCCAGTGATGGGGCCTGATCAAAAATAAAACCAAGATTTTATACTTCCATCAAAGGTTTGATCTCTATGCTATAGAAATACTGAACTCACCAACTTGTTCACCAAAGCACCAAAGCTGCTGCAGGTGTCCAACCCAATCTTACCAGTTTAGCTTCAGAAAGTTTTATTTCCTCAGTAAAATTATATATACATAAAAATAATAAGAGACAAACACTTGTAAAATGCCTAATATATGATTCATTGTGCAAGTAAATCTGGGTGCCATTATAGGAGTGAGGCCCATGTCTGCGATGGTGAGTGATCAGACAAAGAGGCAACATAAATAACTGCACTAAATATCAGCTTCATGGAAAGTTTTTATCAGAGATCAAGAAGAGCAAAATTGATGTTTACAGTAGACCACGAACAAAGCACCTAATAAAATTGAAACCTAAATCGCCTATGGTTGGGTGAGACCTACTTCTTTTGTTATTGATTCAAATTGGCAAACATGGTAATCAGTATTGATGAAGACTAATAAAACTGCTGAATGTTCTTATACTAAAGTCTGAAGAGATAATTTATATACAGTAGATTGATGACCTTCTGGAATCCACAATCTGTAATCAGAACACAAAAATCTTTTTCTCTCATTTTAATTTTTAACAACAGTAAGTAGGAAAACAAGGCTTTTTCACAGGGCTGGTCCTGCACATGTATCATGGATTATTTACTGTATAATCCTAGCAGTATCCTACTGATAGTATTTCAGAATGATCTTGTCTTTAACAGGGTAAAGGGGAAATGACAACATGGTGGCTGGAAGGAAAGGGAAGTGTGGAAGATCTAACAGCAGAAAATAATCAGCTGTGTGGAGCTCCTGTACCTGTAAGCACCTAGCTACTCAGAAATGTATAAAGTGTCTAGTTAATCTTTAAACGGTTGCTTTAAATGATCTTTTAAAAGTATACTTCATAGTAGAAAGCACCGCGGAACAAATACTGTATTTTAAATATTTTAAGGCTGTATACAACCTACAGCAGTAACTGTATGTCACAATCACTTTATACTGACAGATTTTGGTATTGTAGTCAATTCCATTAATTACTATACTATTGTCCCATTTTATGTTGAATATATTTAATATCAAATATCATGTAGTAAATTAATAATCCACTCATATTCATTTGTATTGTATAGTATAATGTTTGTCTTAACTCTTTCTCTTCAGGAGTGGTTATCAATTTTCATTAACAAGTATCTGAAAAAAACAGAACAAAAATTCCTAGCCTTGTTTCTGAGCTCAAGGACATTGTAATATTGGAAGTGAAATTAGAGAATTTTCAACATAAGTGTGTCTTTAGGAACATAACATAGACCACTTCTGTAATAATGCTAAACTAAAGATGCTGTCACTTCTCACTGTTCTCTGTACCTTTATCATTTGGCACTTGTTGTGTAATGTTCTAGAAATGCAATTAAAATAGCAACAAAAGTAAACTAAGACTGACTTTCTTGGGTACATGTACAAACCCATTCTCTTTTTTTCTTTTGATATACTAATAATATTTCTAATAACAACAACTGTACATGCACCATTATGTTTTAAAGTATGTGAACAATTACACATGCCAGTTGTTAATATACAGTACTGAGGGTGATATGAAAACAATTCTTTGAACAGGTAAAACACTAGTACAGGGCTGTAATTTCATGGGCACTTCAAGTCTTGTGAATTCTTTTTGAACGGACACTAGTTTGAGTACTAATCCTTAGCCCACATTTCATGTATTGTTTCATGATAGTTGTTGTTTCTGTGTTTTTTGAAGACACACAAATAACTACTGTATCATGAAGCAATATTTTTCTATGGAACAAGTAATAGGTTGATTCCATGCTGAAAAGAGAAGAAAGAAAACACTTTCTGGAACCTTCTTCAGGTGTAATATTGTGTTTTCTTTCTTCTCTTTTCAGCATGGAATCAACCTATTACTTGTTCCTTAGCTGCCTACGCATGCTGATGCAGCTACCCACCTAAAATATTTTTCTATGTTTTGCTAAACAATGCCATACTGTAGATTTATTGTAACGGACAAAAGGTAGGATGTAGTTATGTATTTACTCATAACATATCCTAATTCATGGTAATTTACAAACTATACAAAAACACAAAGTACAAGCAAAAAAGAAAAAGTAAAATTACAAATGACAAGAGACAACACATTCAGGTCGGCTAATTTTAGAAGTACAATGCATGTTTAGTGCAGAGAACAGTGAAAACAATGTCAATTGGGCACCAAACAATATACAGTATACCTGTAGGTAGGGAGTACAGTACTGAGTAGAGTGCAATATCAGTTGTGCAAAAAGTTGATGGCTGTGATGACATTTTCCATTTAACAGATAAGCTCTGAAGAGATATCCAGATGTACAATCAAGACTGAGCAGTTCTGATTGTAATGGATACTCCATTCTAAGACAGCAGCTCTGGAGCGAGAGAAGCTGATTCTGTAGTTAGTTTTTCAACACTAGCCTTGATATAATACTGTATACTACCTAATCCCGGCTGCATCAAGATCTACCATATCATCCTGGTGTGTATTTAAACTAAACTCAATTTTTAGTTCAATCATGGACTCTAGGTGGTAACTGCTGCCCTCTAAGTCAGACTTTGAAGATACAACCTAGAATGACAGCTTGAGTTTCCTGGAACATTAAATATAATCTATTCTTTGAATAGTATTTTTAATAAAGAAATCCATTGTTGCATATCTACTTTACATGAAAGCTAACTAGAAACTGCTCTATCCACAAAAACAAGGCCCTTCCAAAGAAGATATTCCAGATCCCATCTTAAAAAATAATGGGAAATGTTTTATATAGTTAAATCACTCTCAATGTTTTTAGCAAATGTAGTAGACATACTAGAGAAGACTGTGAAAAAGAAATTTACATCCTTGATGTTCTATAACATTTGAACGAAAACAATAAAATGTGTTTGTTGTTTTTTCCTTTTTTTGTTCTGGATCTTTCTTTCTAATGTGTTTACAAAGACATATAAAAAATCTGAAAGTTCAAACTTCAAGACCCTAGGGGTCTTAGGGGATTCAAGACCCTAACCAGACCTGTGCTGTCTATACTTTCCAAGATAATTTAAAATTATAAAAAGGCACTTCCTTTCCAGGTGGACATTCCATTCGGGGGGAGGGTTTAGCCCAAGGAAGATTATAGGTACTTTAAGTCACAGAGGTCTGGAAAAAGAGAAACAGAACAGTATTTTTTACTTTTTACATACGAATGAATTAGCTTTGAAATGAACCCAATTGCTGTCCTAAATTTAAGCCACAAACTATTTGTAAAGATTAATCAAACAGGTTCTTTCCAATGATTTTTATGTTTGAAGAGTGCTGAATATTTTAACTAGTAAAGACATTTTACCATGGGAAAAAACCTGCACCAGCTCCTCAGTGTCTTCCATGGTGACTTTAGCTGTGCTGTGCATATATTGCATTAAAGGATAACTGAGTGCTTGTATATGAGCATCAAAATATTTTACTTCTAACTGGAATAAATGATAAAATTATCAAGAAAATGACAAATAGTTATACTAGTTACTCTGACATTTTAATTAACAGAAAGGAAGTAAATTAATTGGTAATTGACTTTTGTTATTAACAGGGTTGATCAACAGTGAGTCTATTATGACAGACACATACTAGATGTATGTGTCACCACAGCTGGAAGGCAAACAAACTTTCTGTCTGTGACACATTCATCGCACCACTTCACAGGTGCTGTCTTGTTGGATTCTATCTTATTTCTCTTCTACAGGAGCCTTGTAGAACACAAAGTGTTCACTAGTCGTGAGGCCTAGAAGCCACATGTCATCTCAGTTCATCTCACAAACATCTGCAGGGCCTGAGTCTGGAGAACAGGGCATCAATGGCATCAATGTTACTTTCAAGTCACAAGAAATCCAGTTATGTGAGCAGCATGAGGACAAATGTTGTCCTGCTCATATATTGTCACTTTGGAATGATCCCATAGGAGGGGATGGAAGTGAAGTCCAAGGACTTGAACAATGTAGAGCATGGGTTGGCAAACTTTTTAGAGCAAGGGCCACTAAACATTTTTACTAACCTTGTTGGGCCATCTGAGTGATACTTGATAACTAGCTCGGGTAGCCGCCACATTTTCTTCTAATTTTCTCTTGAGCAATTTTTGCTTGCCTAAAAGCGACTTCTTCAACTGTTCTAATTTTTCCCTCCATTTACCTCCTGTGTATTCTGAAAACGTAGCCTGATGTTTTGTCTCTTAATGCTTTTTTATGTTGTATTCTTTAATCACGGCGATTGTTTCCTGACAGATAAGACATATTACCTTTTCTTTCCAAGGGACACACAAGTACTCTTCTGACAATTTTTCGTTGAACTTTCGACCATCTGCATTGATCTTTCTTTTTTTCAACATGGCAGGAATAACTTACAGTTAGCCTCTTGTCAGTTATAACTTTTAGAACTATTTAAAATAATTACCTGCTTTCAAACAAGATAACATACACTAGACGTCATTTGCGTGACTAAGCCAATCACAGTAGGCAACAAAAATCCAAATGTATTCACGATAAGAGTCAGTTGTAGCACAGGCTTACAGTACGTAACCTAGGCTAAAGCTGACGTCTGATAGGCTAAAAGTAAAATGCATTGTGCAATAGGTGTTGTTTTACAATTGACCATTAGTGCTGAGAGAGCAGCAGAGCTTACAAGTAGAGGCCACTGGCGAAAGATTTTCAATATCTGATGCAAAAAGTAACCTTTGAGATTCAAACAGTAGTGAGCTGCGGGCCACTCAGAAAAGTTAAGCGGGCCGGATTTGGCCCGTGGGCCATAGTTTGCTGACCCCTGATGTAGAGCCATGCAGTCAGGTTTCCACCAATCTCTACATGTAGAGTTCTGTAGTGACCCATCTTTTTTACCCAGACTATTGAAATCAGGCCTCTCTATTGACTGGTCTGTTGTACAAAACAATTACCAAGGATCATTCATCATATCCCCCTTATACACGCCTGTTTCCACCAGGGAGTAAAAAAAACGCGCTATGATATCTTGCAATTGCGATATTGTATCTCAGAATTACGAGTTTATATCTCACAATTGTGACTTAAAATCTCAGAATTACGACTTTATTTCTTGGAATTATGACTTGATATCTCACAATTGCAACTTGAAATGTCAGAATTATGACTTCATATCTCGCAATTGCATCTTTTTTTATGTCAGAATTTTGACTTTTTATCTCGCATTTGTGACTTTGAATAACCCACATTTCATTGTCTGTCCTTTTGTTATTGTAACGGATTCGGGTTCTAGGGCTTGTGCCCTCACCGCTTCTGCCTCACAGCACGGGCTCGAACCCAGGTCTTGCCAGCTGAGCTAAAGAAGACTTTCTTAAGCCCTGGCGGCCAGCATCCCTGTTATGCTCAGGGGAGGGCGGTGCCATCACCGCAGTGCAACCATATCGTACAACCTGTATGTCAGCCATTCCATTACACTATATTCATAAATCATACAGGATCATAGGATCTATAAATCTGAAGACTTGTCTTGTCAAGTGCCCTGACAAAAATCAAATTAATTACAGTAGTTTTGATGGAATCCCATTTCCGGCAGGGAGGCTTCCATAGTACCCAGATGGAATAGTGGACAGTCGGCTTTTTCTTAAGTCAGTGTTTTTATTTAAACACCATAAATACAAAAAAGGAGACAGAATATGAAAAAGAGTACAAAAATAGACACTTCACATCCAGAGGAATTCATAGTTATAAAAGCTGAAAATTATACTTTTTACATATTTCCATTGTAAGTCTTGCCTTTTGATTCTTTAAATTTCTAATAGAATTTAAGTAAAAAAGGAATTCCACTTTAAAAGTATTAATAAATGGAGCAGTATTAGAACATTTACTTTTGTGGATGAAGTATTTTTCCAAAATAATTAACAGATTAATTATAAAAACATTTATCCAAATCAGATCTAACAAAATATAAAACATCAAAATCTTTAAATTTAACATTTACCTTAAATGTTTAACAATAACATTTTGCAAATCTATCCAAAACAATTTTGTATATATGCAATTGATAAAATCCTTCTCATTATAACAAAATACACATCTTGTTTAAATCTAGAAAACGTCAATTTAAAAGGATAAAATCTATGAACCATCTTAAATGAAATTTCTTTAACTTTATTTGTAAGATGGTATCTTTCTTGGCTAGGGCTCTCTCCCCACGCACTGGGCCTCACACCGCTCCACTCCGTCCCTCTCTGACACCAATGTAACGACCTCGGGTTTCGGTACGGAATGGAGCAGGCATGGAACTCAGGGAATGGGGTTGAACCGGGGAAAGGTACACACACACACACGAAGGGAAGAGACTATCTTCCAGCCTCCGCCCTACTATATGCAGTTCTGTAGTCCCTGGCAAGTGTTGTCTATGTTACGAATGGTATAAATATATTCTTGTTTCGACCGTCACGGACCCTGCCCATTTCGTCCCGCAACACCTGGGGCGCGAACCCAGGCAACAGGGAACCAGCCGCTTGAGCTAAAGGAGACCTCCCCCAGCCCAGGCAGCTGAGGTCCCTGCTATGCGCAGGGAGGGCGGTGACGTCACCGTATCCGAACTAGCTCCGCTACAAAACGAGGCACAAGTTTTTCTTTCTTGATTTTCACTACACAGTACAGTACATGACATTCAAAAGGTGAAACTACCTTATGTCTCGTGCCCAAACAACTCTCGACAATGATTGACTCACATTTATTCTAATAGCAGACTACTTTAATGACATTGCTATTGTTGAGAGTCATCTATAAATTGTCTTTCTCTTTTTAGTAATTTTAAACCATGATTGTATGAAAAGAAACCTGCCTCTTATATAACACTAAAGCGTTTGAAAGCAAGTAGCTGGGTGTTCTGATCAGTTCATATATTCAATTCAGTTCAATTATTTTTGCTACTAGTAAGTATATGAATATGTTCATGTTGGCAGCTGCGTCAGCATGCGTTGTGCAAAGTAACAACAGGTTTATTCCCTGCTGAAAAGAGAAGCGAGAAAACATGTTTTGGCTGTGAACCCTTCTTCAGGTGAATATGACAGTTTATTTTGTTTCCAGTGATTTTTCCCACAATTAAAAAATTAATGTGGATTCTTTCAATATTACAATATAGTACTTAATGTTAATGTTAATGTTGCTTTATTAGCCCTATACATTTCTTGCATTAGGAATTCGTCTTTTCGCATACCCCAGCTTGCTCTCCATGAGACACAGACAGGGAGAGAAGCTGGGGGTCAGAGCGCAGGGTCAGCCATTGTACAGCGCCCCTGGAGCAGTTGGGGTTAAGGGCCTTGCTCAGGGGCCCAACGGAGTAGGATTCCTCTGCCGGCTGTGAAATTTGAACCGGCAACCTTCCAGTCACAAGCACAGATCCTTAGCCACAGTACTTAGTAATATTTTATCCTACCTTGAGTCCTAAAAAAAGACTTTGATTATCAAATTTCTTGTACTGCAATCAATAAAATATCGACAGCATTGTTATATGATAAAAAAACTGTTGTAAATAATAGCTTTTATAGCATGAATTGCCAAACTAAATGTGTATAAAATGCAAATTTAAGGGGTTAACATTTGAAGGTAATTTTTTTTGTTTTGTTTAAAGAGTAATTTATTGATGCTGATAATATTTCTTTGTGGTATTGTAGTATAAAATGCTGCAGAAAATGTAGCCGCCCATGTTTTGAAGTTATATAATAAAAGCGATTTCTCCTCAGGTACCGGAAGACGCGAGAATACAACTGGTTTTAGAGACGACGCATACAGTACATTGACGTAAATCATGGAAACAGAAAAAAAAAGTTTGCTCTGGGATCTAGTGTTAGTACCTAGTAAACTAAAACTGAGCAGAGTGCGTAAACGCAACCAAAACCCATGCATAACCTTCGATTGCCGTATAATGAAGAAATAAATATGAGAAAATGAAAAGCTGACTTCCAATAACCATCAAACAACGAACTGCATGGGTTTGCAAGGCTGGTCTGTTTTGCACCTGCTGATGCCTGTATGTCACGCCCACCGGTTTCTCAGGGACTGTAATTAAAGCCCAGGTGTCAGCCAATACTGTGAGCAGGTACTGGTTGCCTGGCAACAGGTTCGCCAATGACCGTAACGTTTGTTGGTGAGCCAGAGAGTCGGAAGCTTCAAACCTGCGCCTGTTGAGAGAGTGGGGGAGGTTGGTAGTATCAGCTGTTGGTGATCAAGAGATTAAAATATCCTACTTGGATGCTGGGGACTTGTCTGAAGTGGATTTATAGGTTTACTGTGTTCTGGAGAACGCCGGTGTCTTGGGAGAGGAGTTCATCTGGTGTTATGTAGTGAGTGTCTTTTCAGACCCCGTTTCTCTTCTGCAGCCCAATACGCAACTGAGCCTATAAGATAGCTGTGTGTTTATAATAATTTTGTAGTCAAGTGTTAAGGAGCATAATTCAATTGCTTAGGTTTTACTGCCTTCCGTGTTACGTATTTGATTTCGCTTCCTCAATGCATTTTATTTATGATTCCTTGGAATAAAAAATTTCTGAACTAGTTTATTTGTATGACTGGGACGTTAACGTGTTAAAAAAGCTAGGCTTTAGCTAATCCTCTGAATCAACAGAAAATCGACCAGCTCCGTACGGTCAGCATTTTTGTTTTCCAGTCCTGGTCAAGCCGTGGCAGTCCAGCGGCCCTGTGTCTTGACCGCTTTGACTTGTGAATTGTGGTCTAACCGGTTTCATGAACTGAAATTATGATAATTGTCAACTTTTAGAAATGTCTAACTACTATCACATTTAATCTTTTTATACATTTCTCTTTGTTTACGTTATACCCGAGCATGCTTTTTGTTTCTCGGTTTACACTGATTCTCACTTAATTTGAGCACATTTCTCAATCAGTTTTTGTTTTATGCGACTATATTGATGACTCCCATTGGTTTGTATTGCTGTATTTGGGAATATTTTTACTGGTGTCGTGACTAGACACTTTAATCATGTGAATCATGTAGTGCCGCTTTACTAAATGGTAGAAACCTTTTTTTCTTGCTATTGATAATTCTAAAAATATTTACATATTTTGTGTACTTTTTTTTCAGAAGGCTTCACAAGCTACCAGGGGCTTGGCAAGTCTGTTATTAACTCCCTGTTGTGATGGTACCATTTTTAATATTGGCATGTTGCCTGCTGCCGGTGAAACGGTAGAACATGTCCTTTGTTATGTATATGAAGTTTCTATCCACTGTGCTCACTCTGGTTCTGGTTTCTGAATTGTTCTTGACCCTTTCATATCAACTTGTGATAATGCATGAGAAGTACTTTTTTGCCCAACTACAGTTTGGGATGCATGACTTTTATATATTTGTCAGTAAATACTTTGTATAAATAATCGAGCTGTATGTTTTGCTTTTTATTACAGCTATAGGTGGTAGGATGCTAGATGGTGCCATCTTACACTTTATTTTGGAAAATAAAATGAACTAGACATCCACCCACCAGCTCACTTGCCTACCGCTGTATTGTTAGTAGGATAGAATCTATTTTAATTACATGCTAAGCGTAAAATACACTGTTCTAGTTATGGTGCATGTAGGAAAGCTGAAGTGGGGCACAGCAAATTGTTACTGGAAATTCTGGTAAGAGGAGGGACAAAAATCGAAAAGGAACTGTGCCTTTCACATTTCCCTACTTGAAAGGGTTTGAATAGAGTTAATTTTGTTGCCGTGTGCTGGGGGAAATATTGGTCCACTCTAAAAGTGATTTTGTCCTTTCTTTTGCTTTCATAAGAATCTTTGAATCATTGTGAAAGAAACAAATGGAGATCATTTGGTTAGAATTCAGATTTGTGTTCTGATTTTTATTACTAAAAACATTTTTACATCATTTTCAATTAAAATTGATAAATGTGGTAATGTATTCTTTGCAGTAAAAAGGCTATAAAGTAATGATGCAGGGTTAAGATTTTTACGATGACTTCTTTACTTTTCATAATATTCTCATTACAAACTAAAGTAGATGGGAGAGCCACGAATCTATGGTTGCGTCATGTCCAGTTGTAATGTTATCTACGATGTGTAACATGGTAAAACAACTTGCATTTTACAATGCTTCTCTCAGTTGTTTTGTTTTATTAGAGCAAGTGCCTCAATCTCTGTAGTATTTGGCAAATAAAAATATTACACTACTTGCAGAAGTGTGATCTAACTAGACATGTATTAGCTGCACAATGCTTATGAAGTAATTTTAAATTGCCAATGGCATTTAAAAAAAAATTGCAGAATTATTAAAAATTTGAATTATTTTTACTTCTAGCTTCAAGCTACATTTAACAATTTAAGAATATGTAGAAGAATTTTAATTCTGCCTCTTCTTGTAAATCAGTCATATATCACATTTTGTGTGCTGTCTTGCTAACGTACTGACAAAACAGGTTTGTGTTGACATTTTCTAGGTCATATTGCAATGTAAGGGATCCAGTTGGAGCAGGGCAAAGTGTTTTTTGCAAATGCTAGGCCATCTGTGCAGTGGATTAGTAGATAACGACGTAGGCACCCTAATATGATTTCCACTTGTAATGATGACCTCCTTGCTGTTTGAAAGCTTGATTACTCTGTGGTATACTCTTTGCTTTTGTGGATCTGGATAGTGTAGAGCTGGGATTCTGTGCAGGCATGGATGTGTTTTTAAATTGAAACCATGCGTAATGTGTTTGAAATTATAGGGCGGATGAAGTAGTTCAGCTTGTTTTGCAGAAAAAAAAACTTAATGGGCTTCTGTTAACGACAATTTCGACTTGCATGTAAATATTGATATAAATGGCAGACTTGACAGACATTTTATAATATTGCATAACCTTTTTGAGAATGTAATTCGCTTAATTTACATCACTAATTGTGATGTATTGGCTTAATATTTCATATACAGCAGCTGAGAATTTGATCTGTACGTGGCTTTTTGTTTAAGCTCTTAATGCTTGTACACAAAAACAGTGAAGTCATCTCCTTCAAAGCAGTGGTACTAGGCTGTTTTAATCCCCTATGTTTTAGATAGCTATACGTGATCTAACAGGCTCTATTTTTCTGTTTCAGGACTGTGATGTGTTGGAGCTGCCACTTGCCCTGTCTGCTGCACTGGATCAGCCTCAGGTGTTTTGGCCTTTAGTTGCTATGGGAGATTGGAGGACAGTAATGCCTGAGTCTTCACTGGGTAATTACTGCCATTCATAACAATTTGTATCTCCTTGAGCTGACAAACTGATTAGTTTATGTATAACCACTGGCATTATGTTCTTCTTTTTGGTGCTAACACCTGTATAAAAATGTACAATTAGCCTTTTTTTAAAATACTTGATAAAATGTATTATATAAATTTAATATAGGGGTTGGAAATTCATATAAGAAACTCATAACCTGTGATACACAAACAGAATGTTAAATGTAGTGTCAATATCAGTAGCAAGTGGTTGTGTTTCTTTTTAAAAAATCACAAGTAATTTTCTACATTAAACTGTTAACTGCTTATATCCATGGTGAATTTCATTATGAACAATACAGTTTAAAGTTAACAGTAGAAACCAGTATGAAAGGTTCAGAATTCAACATGACACAGAAAGCTCTTGCAATAAAAGAATACAGGGTTGCTCTGAGTGTAATTGTATAATTGAATAGACTAGGATGCCGGTGGTAATTTGTCATTGATTCTTTTCTCCAGGGAGCGCAGATGCATCTTTGTCTTCCTCTAGACCTGCAATGTCTCCCCTGGGGCTTGATATTCCCTCCTCGATACAGTGCTCTCTTCTGTCTAAGCACTCGTATAACATTTTAGGTGCTTTTTGTACAGAGGACAATGTTGCCCAGTGCATTTCATATGTTAATCAGGTAATTTATATTGTGCCTTAAATGAAAAAAATCTTCTGAACATCATTATGCTGACTTTGACAAATCACATACATGAGGGCTTAAAATGGCCTTACTAGAAATAATTAGAACGAGGTTTTAGTAGAACAAAATGCATTAGGCTACTAACTCATAGGTTACAAAAACAATGCCTTTGTCATTGTCAAATCTATTATGACAGATGTTTTTGACAGAGTGATAAAGACATACATTTACTGTACAATTGCGAGCTTGCATAAGTTGGTAAGATGGAGTTAGTTAGCACTACTGTTGCTCACCAGTCATGTGAATTTAAAATAACCATTGCTGCTCTCTTCATAGGAGCTTTCTTCACTTGGCTTTGCTGCTCTGTGCAGTGACTCCAATGGGAAGAGAGACCTGAGCTTGGTGACTGTGCTCAATGTTATGTATGAGCTGCTGCAGCTCCACCGCAGAGGACTTCGCTCCCTGGAGGACATGGAGACTGAGCAGCTGAAGTCCAGTAGTGACCTGGACCACCTCCATGTCAGCAACTCCCGTCTGAAGGTCCATCTTTAGAACTCCCCTTGATTTTACAACTTAGCCTGTTCTAAATCAGGATAGTGCATGTGCGACCAAACAAGGGTTTTTTAATGTCTGTAAGAAATAAGTCTAAGCTTAGTATCTTAAGGTTTAAGAATTCCAAAGTTAGAACCAGATCTTAGTGTATTGTAGTGGGAATTTCAAATGTGTTAATGCTGATTTTACTAATTTATGCATTTGTTCTTTTTATAATGTTAATATTTCAGATTGATTTATTATGTTTTGCATAATTCTTATTATTTGGTGTTCTTAGGATCAGCTTGAACAACTGAGAAGGGAAAATACAGCACTACATGAGAGAGAACGTCAGATGCAATTGAAAATCAAGAGTTTACAAAATTGTTTAAAAAATGATAAAGAAGAGGTAAGACCAGACTCATTGCCCTAACAGAATGCCTTTTTAACAAAAAAAAATGTGGAAGGGTGATTTTTACCAGTAAAAATGGTGAAATAAACTTTTCCTGTCTGATAATTTGATTTATTGTACATCATTATCTTTTCATGCACATCAAATTGCTGTTCTGTAATTTACAGCCTAGACAGCTAAGGTCTTAACTTGATCACTTAATGTTATCATTCTCATTAGATACAGAAGCTTCAAAATATAATAGCAAGTCGTGCGACTCAATATAACCATGATATGAAGCGGAAGGAGAGAGAATACACCAAACTGAAGGAACGCTTGCATCAGCTTCTGATGGACAAAAAAGATAAAAAGCTGGGTAGGTATATATGATGTTTAAGAGCTTTGATTTTAAAATGTTTTTTTTCTGGAATACTCCTTTACTTTAAGAACAAGAAGTCTAATTCTTAATACACTTCCACTACTGTTTGTGTGAACAAGTGTCTCCTGTACTCAGTTCTAAATGCCATCAAGTTTGGGGAATATATCTGGTTACTCTTTCCCAGAAATTTCATTTCTCTGCCACCAGAGTGTTTATCTCTATACTATTTGTTGTTTCTGCTTTTTTTACTTAAGTATTTGAAGTAAAAAACACTTCAGGGCCAGTGTTGTCCATCTTGTATCTAGGTTATCTGTACATGTAGACTAGATGTCAGCTGCTAAGTGTTTACCCAGTTCTTTTTTTTCTGTCTTTTTAAAGTATTTTTATGCTTTTACATTGTTTCCTAATTCTCCTTGTTTGACGCTCATAAAGAGCAGTAGTCATTCTAATGCATAGATAATAACTAATAAATATGTAATCCCAGTTTGACATTAGATATTGGTTTTCTTTACCATTTTTAATTTCCTTTGAGTATTAATTTTATGACTTTCAGAAGCCTTTAGAAAATCTAAATACACCACATCCTTTTCTCAAAGCTGTAATCCACATTGGCAATCTATGACGAAACCAAACATTTTAAGACTGATCCATTATGTATAACACTTGATACCTTCCCTCGCCACAACCATACTAGAAAGTAAAAAGAATCCAGTTCTGAAGTGCAGAATTCCTGCACCTGCTAGAATTGCAACAGCTACTGTAGGAAGAAAGTCAATAGAGCTGACAGACCCATACGTGATCTCTTGTTGCAGCCTTAGGAACTGTGAGCCTTTTATAGTTGTTGTAGAGATCTGGCTAGTTGTTGCTTTGGCAACACTCTTATTGTTCATGCCAATGAACCTCATTGAATTTATTATCACAGTTCCTTAATTGTTTTCTTGCATTGATTTTCCTTAGTTTCTCATGATGACTACAGTATAATGCATCTTCCACATGTGTGCATTACTGTTTTCATTATATGTGACTGTGGGCATGTACCCACAGGTCTTTTTAATGTTTTTTTATACATTTGACACAAACATATCAAAACCCTTGATTAAACTAGTTTTAAATTGTGTAGATGTTCTGTTATATTCTTCTGTTCCTTTCATGTCTTCAGTATGCTGTACTGCTAATGCTGTATTCATTGTGGTGTTAGCCATTTTAAGGTGCTTCTGATTAAATGATAACTGCATGCAAATGTAGTTTATCTTGCGCTTTAATTACATGTACATTATTGTCTGGTGCGATAATGTTGTGGTATTGGATCCACTTTCCATCCTCCATCACAGCTCTCCATCTCAAATCTAGTTTAAATATTTTTAATTTGTATACTATTAGCCTAAGCTGAGTGGTGCCCATCTCATTCTTGTAATCTATCATTTCTGTCAGGTGGCCTCTACTGCCAGGCATTTGCATTTCCCAGTTCCCTTTTAATGATGACCTCCTTGCCTTTTGTATAGCACTGATACTTTTTCAGTAAAAAGTACTGAGTTGTTCCTAGTGGAGGTGACTAAAATGTACTCTAATCGAGCATACTACTTAGGTATATATCTTGGTTAATGTGGCATGCGGTGGGTAATTAGGACTGAGAATCAAAACAACAATCAGCAGCATATGGGGAGTGTAGAAGGACAAGTAATTCTTTTGGGCAAAGTGCTAATTAGTTTTACTAAACTCCAAATCCACTTGTTAGTGGCTTGCCCAGCTGGGTTAATTGGGTACAAGAATAGGCTTATGATGACTTCTGGAACCTTGTGGTCCCTAAAGTCTATGTTCATCACATGCTCTGAATTAAGAGTTTGTTCACTATTAACAGAGATTTACTATACTTGCAGTGATTTTCATATTGACATTATTCTGCATTTGAGGGTCTTTTTTGAACATGGTTTAGAAAAAATGTTTTTCTTGTGCTTTAGAAACTACTTTGAACAACACAGCCAGGAGCATTGGAACCGATTTATTAATCAGTACCGGAAAGCCTAACCCCGTATCCTCTCATTTTATCTATTCAAATTGTCTTTAAATGGTATTCTTTCAGCTATTGAAGTTCTAAATTATGTTGGAAGATCTGATGGGAAGAGAAGCCTTTGGAAGACTGGAAAGACTGAAGCCAGGTAAATGATGAACAAGTAATCTTATGTTTATGCTTTTTTGTTTACCAACTGCAGTTTAAGGCATTATAGTCTTGATTTAATATATTGATATTCCAAATTGAGCTATGCTGCTTCATCAAACAATACATGGCACTACTCAGATTATTCATTTAACCTTGATAAATGTTAAAATTCAGATTATCCCTTTTTTCCTTAAAGAAATGAAGGTGAAATGTACAAAACCCTGCTAAGTGATTATGAGTGTCGACAAAAGGATTTGATGGGCGAAAATGCAGAGCTGAAGAAAGTTCTACAACAGATGAAAAAAGAAATGATGTCTATTTTAAGTCCTAAGAAACTCAACTTGAAGGAGAAAGTTGAAGATAGCCTAGAACAAGTGGGTATTACCGGTTTCTCTTGGGGGCCATAATTTCAATTTCCAGCTGTATCTTGTTTGAGGGACCTGTATGCTGTGGGAGTCCAGGCTAAATGTTACTGCTGTGTTACAGGCTTTGTCTGATAATGATGAGGAGGGGGGGGATCACAGCCGAGAGGTTCTGGAGTTGTCGTGTGAGCACGCAAGGGAGCAGCTCACCAACAGCATCCGCCAGCAATGGAGGAGACTCAAGAATCATGTGGAGCAACTAGATAACCAAGGTACTCTAAATTTATCTTCTTAAAAGAGCAAAGAGATGGTTTCTAAAGTTTGGGTCCAAACAAATGCATTCTGTATGATGCAACTGTATGATGCAACATAACATCCTATTCCTGAAATCCCTATCTTCAATCATGTAATCAGTTTAAACTACTTAATGTGCTGGATGTTTGTGATTGCTCTAATCCCAACGTATGACTGCATAGCATATTGCTTATGCAGACCTACCTGAAGACCCCTGCTTACATGCCTAAAAAAGTAACTTATTAATTTTAAGATCTCACTGATGCAACTCTCCATGCAAGACTTATGTACTTGTCAGGTTCCCCAAATGTTACCAAAATAAAAACTTTCTGTACACATGCATGTTGGAGAGCAAATGTACCGGAAATATGAGCTGAGGCCGAAATGCTTGCCCTTCTTGAAGGGGCCGAAAGTGTCCTAGAAGCTGACCTTGTGCCCTCTAGCACAGATGGAACCCATGTAATTAAACAGCATATAATAATAATGGTCAATGAAAGTGCTAAAACTGTCTCCTTGATATTCCTTATTTACAATTATGGTGATCCCATGCTTGTATAGCTGGAACCCTTAATATATACATTCAATATACTGTATATAGTGCATATAATTTAAGGAACTTTTGAAAGACTTAAGACATGTAGTATTTCCTAAAGTATTTTGGTAATGTTATTGATCTCTACACATAACTGGAAGGATTGTTATAGCTCTTTTGCTTTCTTTCTGTGTTCACTGAAAGGACATTTGTGTTTGGCCCATTTTGGAAATACTATTCTATTTTGCCTTTGTTCAATATTTAAATTGTTTAAAATTACTCTCCAGAATGCTTATATTTGGAAATCACCCTCTTAGCAATACATCATTTTGGGATCCTTGCAACTTTACCCTTTTACAGAAGGGATCTTTGCTTGTTTCTTCCACAACCAAATGAAGTCAATTAATTGTTGAAGAGCTGATGAAATTGGAAATAAGATGGAAAAAGCCTTTTGGATCAATTGCTTTGTCATTAAATGAGAAATGCAAACAAACCTCAAATGAATTACAGCTCCCTGAGTATTTTCCTGATTCAATTTGTGATGCTCCATATATTCATCATGCTGCTTATAGCTTCTTGAAACCTAAAAACATAAATGTTAAGAAATTTAGACTGTCCATCCAAAGATCATTTTGTGTACACAAACTGCATTACTTAATAATTGATGATATGTGAGATTGCAGTGCCCTCTTCTGTCTAAGATGGAACATCGCAACTGTTAAAGACATTGCTTAGATCAATCCAAGCTTATACCCTGGGAGAGGTATTGTGTTGGACTCTTGCCACAAAAACAAAAAGATAGATGGATGTCAACAAAGAGTATATATTCACAATGGAATGGACAGGTTATGCTGTTTTGAAAACAAATGTGATTTATACTTCAAAAACCTGGTCATAAGGTATTGAAAGATTAATTACTATTCCAACTTGTCTGTGTTCCTGCCAAATAGCAGCCACGGAGCCTTTTTTGTTCATAACTGTAAAAGTTATCAGCTGGAAGAAAACTTTTTAAGTATTCAAAAGAGAATGTATGCACCTTTTTTTTTTTGGAACGTTCCTGTTCCTTTAAATTAATGGTGATTTAAAATGCTTCACGATATATGAACAAAAACGAATTTGTTGGAGTTTAGTTAAGATTAACATACTAATGTCTTTAAACCACACCGCTTAAATTCAGATGGTCAGTGAGTACACATCATAGTTTATAACCCTGTGTGTACTTTTTAATACATAAAATAAAGCATGTAATGATTGGATTCCTGCAGATTTATGTAAGTCTAAAAAAAATCATGACTGTCGTCTTTATGAAAGTGAAGTCTACATTTCACTTTTGTAGCATCCTTGGTGCAGAAGGGGGCTCAGATTGATAAGGATGTAATTGCAAGAGAAATCCATGAGGAGGAAATGGAAAAGCTGAAACTGGAAATCCAGCAATGTAAAGACTTCATTAAAAATCAACAGCAGCTCTGGCAGGTAGGTCAAACCTTACACTCCTGTGTTTTTATGTATGTTCCCAGAGCTGTCCTGCAATTTTCCTTGTAAACAACAGATTCCACCAAAGAGAACTAGCAGAAATAATAAGCCTTTCATTTTGTGATAGAAGTTAAATGTAATTGTCTAAACCACATAAATAGCAGTGGGTTTCTTGTTGCAGTCTAATTTAAGGTACTTTTTTTGCAGCAACAGCTGACCTGTCCATGTGATGATGAGACTGCTGCTCTACTGCATGATTGTTACCTATTGGAGGAGAAGGAACGATTGAAGGAGGAGTGGGATCTCTTTGATGAGCAAAGGAGAAACTTTGAAAAAGAGCGTAGAAATTTCACAGAAGCTGCAATTAGATTAGGCAATGAGGTATTTTTCTATAGTTGATCTAAATGCCTTTAAATGTTACTTGTAGAAGGGGATGTTTTCTTGTTTTCTCAGAAAATACAGGTTATTTTATACTTTCAGAGAAAAGTTTTTGAAGACGACAGGGCAACATGGTTAAAACAACAATTTTTGAACATAACCCCATTTGCAGACCGTAAGAGACCCCAAACTTCAAAATCTCAGAGTGCTTTATCTGTCAGTAAGTACAACTTTTTTCCCCTTGTTTTATTTGGATGCTTCTCAATTTGATTAATCTTGATTTATTGGAAAATATACAGTCCAGTAGTGTTTCTTTAACTTAAACAGGATGACAAAGTATGGCTGTACAGGCCTATAGAAAGTCCCTTCCAAAATAAAACATTTTGTGGCCTAACAGCCTGACACTAAGATGCATTAATTTAAATTTAATTTGACCTTTATTTAAAACCCACAACCTCCAACAGAAAAACAAATGCTCAAACATTCTAAAAAGTAATTACAGATGAATACCTAGAAAAATGGGTTGGATAAGTGTACACCCCTGAGTGTGTACTTGATGGAAGCACCTTGTGCTTGAATTGAAATAATCAGTGGTATGGAGGACCCCATTTTTGGCTGAAATGGGAAAAAAATATGTTCTTACCTTAGATTTAAATTGAATATTATTAACCTTAAAGTGTGCATCTATAAAAGGGTTAATGTTTTTTGCTTTTCCTCAGTTAATGGGTAATGACAAATTTTAGATCAACGAGGTCATTAAAGAAGAGATTATATTTTTAATGCTCCTCATAAGTAAATGCCACTAAGATGCTGGGAAAGTGATTCTAACACTAGTTTGAAATGGAACGGAGCAATAACTACCATTTTTGGACATGGGTCTTTTACTGCCCTTCACATCAGGAAATTGATCTAGTTCAGGAACAAATTACCATTGATGGTTATGCTTGGTCCCTTGTACATTTGATTGAGCTCAAAGCCTGTTTAAGTTATACTACTAGCCGGGAAATCGTTTGCATTTTTGCAGTGCAACAAACTAATGATTTTAACGAATTTCCTTACTTGGGTATCTACTACATTCTTTATTCCTGTTAAGTGTTAATAAATGTGCAAACTGCAAAGTGCTGGTCAGGCAAAACATTTTTCTTAATGAAGTGTTGACGACTTCCAATTTTATTAAGATGCCACTTTTTGTGAAGTGGTTTGACTGCATATTTATCTAAATGGGGAAGTAATGAGAATACATGTCTTAGGTACAGAGACTGAATTGTGGAATGGCCATACTCCAGCACAGCTGACCAAATCTGTGTCTCACACTGGTGGTACACCTAAATCTGCCACTTCCAAGATGCCATCAACAGTAGAGCTCTACCGCACGTTACGCCTCATTCCAGACCCAAGGTAACTTATACTACATACTAACAAATTTTGTTTTTTAAAGTATTTTGTATTTAAGAATATGCCTATGCAGTTGATTAATTTAACCAGAAACTCATTCTTTTTAAATTAAAAAGAGGATGGTTGAACTTGAAACGATGGAATGGAAAAACGGTGTACCATACTTCAGTAATGAAGTTGTGAAGTACAGGTTTCCTTTGCTCACGGTAGAAACCCTGGCTCATATGCATTTCTGTCCATGGAAAACTTGCTGCTTCTCCACTATCTCCTAGATAGTGTTGCACATTTTTTACATTTGTGTACACATGATTTCTCTTGGTATGTTCAAATCTTTTATTTGTAACCCTATAAAAATTCTATTATATTCTTAATTTTATTACATTAGTTTAATTTTAATTCAGGCTACTGTATCTACCTTTTTAAAGGAGAGAATTTGAAATTGTTACCTGTAGACAAGTGCATCACAGACTGTGGGAGCCCAACCACTGATTTACAATATACTCAAGTATTTACTAACTCTGGTTTTGTGCACTGTTGTGGGTTTTCAGAAATGTATCCCCGTGTGACTGGCAGTGGAATCTTGTACTAACTGTTGTTTGTAAAGCGTGCTTAGAGTATTTTTTTTGTTCCTTTTTACAGTTCATCCAGAACACTGCCAAAGAAAGGAAGTTGGCAGGACTCCAACATAATTCATACTAGTGAAGTGTTAAATAAATCGAGACATTCCACTGGATCTGATGACAATAGTATTTATTCTCTAGCAGGAGATGAGAATACTCCAAATTAAGACTTTGAAATTGGAAAATGTTTTATTTTTTTAGAGGGTTTTTTTCCTTAAATCACAGCATGTCAACAATGGATTAGATGCTACAAATACCATGAATTCAGTTTTGTTATCTCTATTAACTGATTTTATGTAACAATTAAATAAAATGCCAAAAACCTGTTACTTTCTTTTCTCCTGAAAGTGTATAGATTATAAATTTTACAGTATTTCTGAATTATTTTTTACTATTTTTAGCTTTTTTTTTGTTGCTTGGTTTCTTATGTAAGAATACTGGCTCATTAAAGTCCTCTGGTACATTTGGGGGAAAAAAGATATGTTGGAGCATGGAATACTAGATTGTTGCTTGTATTTTAATAACCTGCAACCTCAATTGGTGTAATCTGTAAGTAGATCTCTTCTGTATATTTCAGAGAAATTGAGCTTGAATGTGTATTTGCTTTTCAGTGTGATGTGGATTTTTGTTGAGTGAGTAGTTTTGTACTTTGAGTTAAGATTTTCTAATTTAATTTTGTAACTTTCTTAGGCAGTAATGATCAAGTTTCTTTAATGAGACTGTCAATAAATCCATAGGTTTGGTATTTTAAAGATTTGTAAAATATATTGCTTGTCAAATCAATGCAATTTGTTTCTTAGGTTCAATAAAGCCAATATGATCTGCAAAGTTTTTTATATATAAACTTCACTACAATACCTGTAAAAAGGGTCCCACTTATGGAACAGTGGTCTAAACACAAGCTACACATGTAGTAAAACTAACTTTGTTTAAATCTTTCTGTATTTTGGGTTATCTTATTTCTAGGTAAGAAAATGCACTCATAAGATAGGGAGGTATCTTGCCATTGCCTTTTTTCTGATGTGGGAAACCCTGCCACGGTACCCTGTTCATTTTGCTCTACAGGGCTGGAGCAGTGGAGCATCCCATTGCTGTTTTTCTTTTATTCAAGTGTATAAACACAACTTTAATTTTTAAAGCATAAAGACTGCATTTATGCTAGTCTGCTGGTAATACATTTTTCATTCAGATGGAATAGTCATTGCCAAATGGTAATTAATGTATCACAAACGTGAAATGTAGATCCCTAAATTGCAGTGGATCCTTGTTTTATAAGTCATAAGTAGAATGTAAAATCTTTGTCCCAGCCATGCAAGATTGCCATTACAAGGTGTAGACTTGGTTCATATGGAGTCGTGGTTTGTTAATGAGATGGGTTGCCTTGACTGTCCACGTAACACCAGGCCAAGTCGACACTGTTCCTGAAGACTAGACTCGAAATGTTCTGAGGTTCAGGATGAAAGACCTACAGTGCCACAGACTCATTCACTCCATTTAAAGAATGGAGAAGATCCGGTGGATGACTGGTTTGGGGTGAGTCTAGATAATGATGTATAGATTGTCAGTACTTATGACTCTCCAAACGAGATCTGATAACCACCAAGACAATTTTAGGAACATGTATTACATAGACTTGAGTGATTTCATCAATAGATTTCATTGAGGGTAGCAGATTCTAGAGGTACACTAAGGATATACAGTACCTTGCCTTGTGCATGTGTTTAAATATTTTCACAGTTACTGTTTATGTACACATCTGAATCCACATTTTCAAAGAAAAGACTGAAACTGTAAATATGAAATTAAAATCCCCAAATCAAAGGGCCAAGTGAGCAGGCTATTTTAGGCTTCCTCCCTGCTTCCACAGGGCTCTGTGGCGCTAGAGTGATCGGTGTAAGCTTACCTGTTTTTTTCTCTTTTTCTGAGTACTGAATCAGTAGCATCTTGCAGCCTTTTCTGCATTTCGTTTCCTGTCTTGTACTTTTTTTTTTATTCACTCACCTTGTCGGATAGGGCTCCCTAGGCTTCTCCGCTGCCACTTTTAGGTAGTCTTTTTTTGGGGGGGAGCCTTAATCGGGGAAGCTTTTTTTTTTTCCAGCCAGCCTCTCCACTGCTAAGGCAGCCTTTCTCCTGCTCATTAGTCACTCATCTCTCATTTACTCCTTCATCACTCATTATGGCCTTGCTCCTGCTGAACCTTCCTGAAGATTGCCAAGGCTCCTCTGAAAACCTGCACTTGGAGCTCGGCTTTCATTCGCCATAGCTGTCTAACTTCAGGGACTGCAGCATAGCCGACACACCTTGAATACCTGCAATTTTAGAATTAACCTTTCATGGTGATCTTTATCAAGGTTTCTGAAACTTAATATACATGTCTTGGGCTGTGTGTCCAATGTTGTCGTTAATAGTCTTGGGAATAGGAAGTGTGTTAGGGTGGTAGGGAAGCACCAAAGGAATGCGGTTGTTCCTGATTGGGTTGATGATCCGAGGGGTGTTTTTGGCTTGGGCAAGGGCCCTGTCAATAACATTGCAGGGTTAGGGTTAGGCTTTCGATGTAAAATATTAAAGGCTGAACAAGTTTAATATTTGGCTTGGTGCACTGTCTCAAGCTTGACCTGTCTGAACACCCCTATTCAAACAAAGGTACACAAGGATGAACTACATGAAAGAAAAAAAAGGAAACAATGCCCTATGAAGTAATTTATATCTCACCCTGGGACATTTCATCACTAACTTCGTTATAGTCAGATACACAGTTACAGCAATTACATGCTTTTAAAACCAAATTCAGTATTACTTTGTATGACATGTCTAATCATTCATCAACATTCATGACTAAAATGGTTGTAACCTTTATAGTGCTTATAGTAATTTTACTTGAATTGTAACTGTGGCATATTGTTAGATTTAATGTTTTCTTGTTATACTCCTGTACTTTTAAAGTAAAAACTACAACTGAAAGATACATTTTTTTCTAAAGAACTACATAGGTAATTCCTTTTAATCCACACACAATGGCATCGGGCCAAAACACATCCTGATTTCTAGGTGTTGAAGCAATCAGAGAGCTCAAAGCCCTCCACTTCCCAGAACGAGATTGTTGGTCAGTCACAGGGCCTACCCCTGCAATGCTACAGTTTATACAGTACAGCTGGTAGGAGTAGAAAAACTGGGGTAAAGTACCTCATTCAAGGCACTGTACAACAGAAGTGTCTGCAGTGGGGATTTGAATCCACAACCCACTAGTTATGAATCTAGAGACTAACCTGTTACATTACACCTCCCACAAAGATTTTTCTAATGAACCTTTTTGGTTTGATATGTTGTCACAGATTTGGGTGGATGGTACGATGAAGGGGAAGACATGTGGTGTGTGTGTGTGGTCGAGAAGATAAGGAGTCCAGGCGTGAGTACCAGATGCCTGGAGGCTGTGTTGCCAAGAGTGAACAGAGTTTCACCCAGTCGTGGGTTATCACAGGAGACACTTGCCAAGATGGTAAACATCTGCTGATAGTGTTTACTGTATGTGAAAACCTGAATTCTGCTGCTTATGCTAATATTTCCAACGTTCAGAAAGAGGTTACTATATTATTGTGATTGATTATTGAACTTAAAGGTTCTTCAAGTGGATAAATGCATAAATGAACTCAAAGTCAGAAAGACTACAGAAACTAAAATTATCCTGCAGCTAGGATCACACCTTCCCCCTTCTCTTGACGACAGACTACTTTTCTTCTAAATTCTCTCTATTCATTGTAGGTTTCATTTCACACCTCTCTTCACCTACAGTATCCTGACTTCACATCACCTGATTGGCCTCTCTTTCTGTCCCCTGCTCCCGCCCCTCGCTCCTCCTCTCTCCCAGCTTTTGTCCTCCCGCTACATTACCTTTGCTTAATGCTCTGTCTTTCTCACACCTGACGAAGGCTCCACGGCTGAAATGTTTTCTTTCTTCTCTTTTCAGCATGGAATAAACCTATTACTTGTTCCTTTGCAGCCTACACATGCTGATGCAGCTACCCACCTGAATTAATATATATCTACAATCTATTACCCTACTTTATGAAAAATACAATTACAATAGTTTTATTAAAATGTAAGGTTTAAAATTATTCAGGAAATAATGTAATTGCATGGTTAATTGTAATTATCAATCATTATGAACATAATTTAAATTCCATGGTGATCTTACTTTTGTAAATCATTATGTGAAATAATCATTTGAGCAGAACTACTACAGAATGTTTAAATATCTCTTGGTATATGATGCCAAAGTACATAGAAAGAATGTATTCATTTAAGTATTAAAACCATATTAATTTTTTAATTAAATGTTATAACACCTGATTTGTGTTGTCAGACTGTAAGTTGAAGCGAGAATTTGTGAATTCATTGAAAGGATATCAAGTGGTACTCCACTGACCCTGTGCTTCAGTGTATGTCTGGATGTACCCCCACAAACACCACACCAGTCAGATTGGGCTTCCATTGTCTGCCTATAGGTAAAAACTTTATACTTACAGGTGTAAAATTATCTATGTGCTGAAATCATGTGAGTAATAAGAACACTGTGAATTATTACTTTGATCCCCAAATTTTGTGCTCCTTTTTTCTTTCTAGTACAATTCAGATTGTTTGGTGCGCTCAATAGCACAGACCTACATATACTAATATTAAAAACACAAAAATAAACACTTGATCTTAACTTCGTGTATCCTTTTCATCTTTCTTTAGACACTGTTGTGAACCTTCTAGATGGAAACATCAGCCAGAAGAATGAGGATTTGGAAGAAACAATGGATTCCCACATTGCTTGTTCTTGCACAAGTCAATGTTCTTAATCAGAGTTCAAAGCTGAGCCTGTATGTTTTTGGTTAAATTATCTTCTTGACAATTATGCCATATTGTAGTTCTGGAAATAAAAGTAATAAATACATACTTTAAAGGCACCATCTGAGCAATGTCTTCCTTAAAATTAATCAAGAATATTCTCAAAATATAGTACTACAGAAATATGCTTTTGTAATAGGAATATTTAACCAGTTATATGTTTAAGACACACACTAATATATGCAAGCCGAGCTGATTCAATGTAAAGATGCTTATTCCTGGTGGGGGTTGAATAAACTACAGCAGAATATGGGACTGCATCCTGAATGGGATGCCAAGAATATATGAACATAAGAAAGTACAGAAATGAGATTTGTAAAGGTTTTGTAAAGCTTTTGCCAAGAATATGCCCAAGTAGTTGGTATAAATAGAGGCATCTGAATTCTTTGTTCTCTAGCATAACACACCTTTTCAGCTGATTTTGCCATCTCAATGGTTTTCTCCATGTTGCACAGTTGGAAACTGTCACATCCTGCTTCTGTTTAAAAATACACAAGTGGAGTACCTGCACAAGGTGCATGCCATGTCAAAGCTATGGTGGAGCCCTGTGCTTCACAACAGAGTATTGGGAGAGGGGAGACCCTTCTGCCTGTTACAGTACCTTTTTCTGCTCTCCCAAAGCATATGGTCATGATGGTCCTAGGAGGTCAGTGAGCAAAACACCTACTGCTCCAGAGATGATACCTTCACGTTTGGAGAGAAAATTGCAGTTAAAACCCAACTTTCACACTCTTTGTGACAATTCAATTGCATTGTTCTTGTTGCCATGTAATATTTATATAAGAAACATGTAAAGATTTCATACCACCTACATATTGCTTTTAAACGTCTAGAGTATCAGGGCTGAGAATGGAGAGTTGAG